CTAGACTTACTAAAAGAAGAAAAAGGGAGCACGAAGACAAATAAAATGTAAGTGAAAGAGGAGCTTTAAAACTGATGCCACAGAAATACAGAAAGATCATGAGATTATTATGAACAATTACACACCAATAAATTGGATAACTTAGAAGGAATGGATAAGTTTCAACAAACATACAACCTACCAAGAATGAGTCATGAAGAAATGAAAAGTCTGTACAGACCTATTACAAATAAGGAAATTGAATCAGTAATCAAAACTGTTTTAACAACAACAACAACAACAACAAACAGAACCAGATGGCTTCACTGATTAATTCTACCAACTGTTTAAATAATAACTAATGCCAATCCTTCTCAATCTTTTCCAAAAATCAGAGGGAAGGAAACACTTCTAAACTAATATCAGGCCAGTATTACTCTAATACTAAATCCAGACAGAAACAATACAAGAAAGAAAAGCTGCAGGCCAATGTTGCTGACAAACATTGATGTAAAACCCCTCAACCATAAAATAGCAAACTGAATTCAGTAACATATTTAAGGGACCATACACTGTGACCAAGTGATATTTATCCCTGGGATGCAAGGATGGTTCAACATACAAAAATCAATTAATGTGATAAATCATACTGATAGAACAAAGAAGAGAAATCACATGATCGTCTCAATAGATGCAGAAAAACCATGTGACAAAAGTAAGCATTGTTTTCAGGGTAAAAACTCTCAACAAACTCAGGATAGAAGGAAATTACTTCAACAAAATAAATAACTATAATAAAAAGTATATGAAACATCCACAGCTAACATCATACTCAGTGGTGAAAAACTGAAAGCTATTCCTCTAATATTGGGAACAAGAAAAGGATGCCCACTCTCCTCTTCTATTCAATATAGTAGTAGAAGTTCTTGCCAGAGCAATTAGGCAAGGAAAAGAAATAAAAAGCTTCCAAATTAGAAAAGAAGTAGAAGTAACTCTGTTTGCAGATGACATGATTATATAGTATAAAATGCCAAAGATTATACCGAAAACCTTTTAGAACTAATAAATGAATTCAGAAAGTCGCAAATTACAAAATCTACATAAAGCATCAGCTGTATTTCTCTATACTAACAATGAACTATCTGAAAAGGAAATTAATAAAATAATCTCATTTATTATAGCATCCAAAATAATAAAACAATTAAATATAAACCTAAGAAGATAAAAGACTTGTACACTCAAAACTACAAAACATTGATAAAAGAAATTAAAGAAGACACAAATAAAAGAAATGACATCTTGTGTTCGTAGATTGAATGACATGATATTTTTAAAATATCTGTACTATCCAAAGTTATTTACAGATTTGATACAATCTCTGTCAAAATCCTAATGGCATTTTTACAGAAATAGAAAAATTAATCCTAAAACGGAAGCACAAAGAACCAAGAATAACCAAAAAATCATGAGAAAAAAGAACAAAGCTGGAGGCATCACACCTTCTGATTTCAATATATATTACAAACCTACAGCTATTAAAATAGTATGGTATTGGCACTAGGAAAGACAAATAGACCAATGCAACAAAATAGAGGGCCTAGAAATGAAACCACACATACAGGCAATGGATCTTCAACAATGGTGCCAAAATACACAATTGGCAGAGAATAGTCTGTTATACATATGGTGTTGGGAAAACTGGATATCCACATGCTTAAGAATAAAATTAAACCCTGTAGGGGTGCCGTGGCATACGCCTGTAATCCCAACAGTTTAGGAGGCCAAGGTGGGTAGATTGCTTGATCCCAGGAGTTAGAGACCAGTCTGGGCTACATAGCAAAACCCCATCTTTACCAAAAATACACAACTTAGTTGGGCATGGTGGTACGGCCTGTAGTTCCAGCTACTCAGGGGGCTGAGGTGGGAGGATCGCTTGAGCTCAGGAGGCAGAGGTTGTAGTGAGCTATGATTGCACCACTGCACACCAGCCTGGGTGACAGAGGGATACTCTGTTCAAAAAGACACAAAAATGAAAGAAAGAAAAGAAATTTAACCCTTATCTTAAACCATCCACAAAAATCGACTCAAAATGAATTAAAGACTTAGCTGTAAGAGGAGAAACTGTAAAATTTCTAAAAGAAAACCTGGGAAAAGCTTCATGACATTGGTCTTGGCAATGATTTCTTGGCTATGACACCAAAAGCACAGGCAGCTAAAGCAAAAACAAAAAAGTGAGACTACATCATACTAAAAAGGAGTTCCTGCATATTAAAAAAATAGCAGTTAACAGACTAAAAATTCAACCTACAGAATGGGAGAAAATATTTGTGAACCATATAGGAGATAAGGGATTAATATCCAAACTATCAGTTGAAGGAATTCCTTCAATTCAAAAACAGAAAAAAAAAAAAAAAAAAACCAAATAACCTGTTTAAAATATTGAGAAAGAACATACTTCTCCAAAGAGGGCATACAAATGGCCAACAGGTAGATAAAAATGTCCTCAACTTCAGTAATTATCAAGGAAATGAAAATCAAAACTGCACTATCACCTTACACCTTTTAGGATGACTTTTTTTAAAAAAAATATTGGCAAGAATGTGGGGAAAAAGGGAACCCTTTTGTGCTATTGGTGGGAATTTAAAATGGTGCAGCCCCATTAAAAAAAGGAGGAAGATTCCTCAAAATACTAAATATATTTATTTATTACAATAAAATATAAAATGAAAGGATTTATATGAACTCACTTGGAAAGATTTGATATACTGTTCAGTAAGTAAAGCAAGCTACTGAACATAGCATATGATTCAATTTGGGTTTAAAAAGTTGTGTGTGTGTACGTATAATACATATATAAATTATATAAAATTATATCTTTATCTACATAGTAAAAAACTTGGAAAAATAAAATGTTAACAGTAATTTTGTCCATGGAGTTAGAAGGAGATGGGGGAATATAAGAGGAGCTCTCTATTTTTACTCTATACCTGTTTATATAATTTGAATTAATTTGAATATTATAAAATAAGCATGCCATATTTTTGTATTTTTATTTTGTTTATTTTTATAATTTTAACTTTTATTTTTGATTCAGGGGATTCATGTGCAAGTTTGTTATGTGGATATACTGTCCGATGTGGAGGCCTCCAGTTACATCCACATTGCTGCAAATACATGATTTTGTTCTTCTTTACGGCTGTGTCATATTCCATGGTATATATGTACCACATTTTCTTTATCAATCCATCGTTGGTGGGTACCTAGGTTGATTCTATGCCTTCGCTATTGTGAATAGTGCTGTGATGAACATACGAGTGTATATGCCTTTTTGGTAGAACTGTTTTTTTTTTTTTTTTCTTTTGGAGATACACCCATTTACGGGATTACTGGTCAAACAGTAGGTTCTGTTTTAAGTTCTTTGATAAATCTCCAAATTGCTTTCCACAGTGGCTGAACTAATGTATTCCCACCAACAGTGTATAAGCATTCTCTCTTCTCCACAGCCTCTTATGATTAAGCAATTCAAAGGAAGTATAGCAATGGGCTCATGACTATAAAATTAACTTGTCTTACTCCATTACCTGGAAGCAACGGGCCTACATGAAAGATTCAATTTCTTCTGAAGACTCGGTTACATAATAAATTGGAGACAACACCCTCAAAGCATGAAATTTTGTTTTACATGATTGGTTATATTCTTTTAATTAAATTCTGTTATATAGTGCAATTTCCCCATAGCCAGAATACATGAGTCCAGAAATAATTGGATAGAACCACAAATGGGCAGGTCGTCTCACTATTTTCCCAAATAACCTACTCACAGAATTTTGGAGTCTTGTTCTGGTAACTAAGACTCTGGTATTTTGGAGGTCTTGGTCTCCAAGAAGGAGATGCTTCCATCAAGGATAAAATAATGGTTCCATTGAACTAGAAATTGAGACTGTCACCTGACCATTTTGGGTTCCTCATGCTACTGAACCAACAAGTAAATTAAAGGGTTATTATGCTGACTTGAGTAATTGATCCTGTTTAGTAGAGAAAATTGGATTGCTACTCCACAATGGAGACAGAGATAGCTATTTTGAAATATATGGGATTCTCTGGGGCTGCTCATAGCATTTCCTTCCTTTTAGTAAATTTTAGTGGAATATTACAGCCACCACATAAATGAATGGCTATTGAAGACTCAGACCCCTTGGAAATGAAGGTTTACAACACTCCACAAGGAAAAGAATTCCAACTAGCTGAGGTTTTGTTTGATGGCAAGGGAGACTTAGAATGTGTAGTGAAAGGAAAAGGTCATAGACGTAAACTTTAGCCTCATGACCAGTTACAGAAATGAAGACTAGTGTCTTTACCCATTTTCTATGTGTTGTATTAGTTCGTTTTCACGCTGCTGATAAACACATAGCCCAGAATGAGCAATTTACAAAAGAAAAAGGTTTAATTGGACTTACAGTTCCATGTGGCTGGGGAAGGCTCAAAATCATGGCAAAAGGCAAGGAGGAAAAAGTCACGTCTTACATAGATGGCATCAGGCAAAAAATGAGAGAGCTTGTGCAGGGGAATGCCTCTCTTTAAAACCATCAGATCTCATGAGACTTATTTACTATCACAAGAACAGCATGGGAAAGACTTGCCCCCATGATTCAATTACCTCCCATCAAGTTCAACACATGGGAATTCAAGATGAGATTCAGGTGGGGACACAGCCAAACCATATCAGTGTTATACCTGTGTGTTTATTTGTATATGCTAACCATTTTCTTTTCTCTTTTTCTTCTTATTCTTTTTTTTTTTTTTTTCTTGCACAAACACATTTGTTTATTAACCAAGGGATGATCCTAAATAATCCAACATACTTTGAAATAGCTACATGTAAAATGTTTGTGATAAAGATAATTGAACACAGTAATGTAAAAAAAAAAAAAAAACAAAAAGAAACAGTATGGAGATTTGCTCAATGAACTGAGTTTGGTCATTCTCTTAGTTAATTGCTGTCCAAAGTGATGATGGAATTTTTATTCTACTTTTTCGCAGATCCAAGTACAGGTGACATTGTTCATAACACAGTCCACCACTAGTTTCCCATCTTTCAATTTTCTTGTTATTGTGCTTTCCTTCCCATCCCACTCCTGATGCTGAACCAATGCACCATCTGTAAAGTTGCAGACAGTCTGAGTTTTTCTGCCATCAGCTGTGGTTTCTTCAAACTTCTCTCCCAGGGTACAAGAAAACTGTGTTGTTTTCAAAGTCGTCTCAGGTTTTATGGTGAAGTTTTCGCCATCAGAAGTGATGATACAGTCTGGTTTGGCCGTTGCGCCCATGTTTCGCAAAGCTATTCCCACTCCTAGCTCCTTCATGTATTCATCAAAGCCTTTGCTCTCCACCAGGCGCCATCTTCCTTCCAGCTGCTGAACTGTGGCCCTGGTGGGCGCGGGCGGGCTGACGTGCAGGGCGGGGTCAGCGTGGGCTGGCAGCGTGCTGTCCTCATTAACCTTTTACATAGAAGTTGTTGAAAGAAAACTTTACTATTTCGTCTTTAGGCAAAAGAATATTCAATTGGTCCATGACTGAATTCGAAGAGTAATTAATACAGCTGGCAACAAACACAATGACTTTTGGGATGGCATCGCTTCTCATATGTTGTCAGGCAGAGATATAGAGTTGCTTTATTGCTGTACAGTTGTCCAAATGCGCATAGTAAGGTGCATGTGGAAGCTGAATAGCCAAAGTGATAGACTGGGCTTCTCAGTTTCAAATTCTCCCTTAATTTCTCTGCTTTATGATACTAGAGCTGAACCCTGTCAACATTCCTTTCTCAGCTGGCAAAATATTAAGTTTTACCAGTAAAATGCACTTTAAATATACTTTAGGAGAAAAGGACTTTTACTGGATGTGATGAGCTACTCCTTTTGCTCCCATGGCACACTTTCCAATGACATGCATGACGAACATGCAATGACACTCCCATCCAGTAACTTGTGTTGTCAACCTTGCCTGTGATGTCCTTCTTATAAGGTATGCTTCTCTAGTCCGCCAGCTCCCTGGAAGAAAGGTTCCTCTCATTCCTGGTCTCAGCCTGCAATTCCTGCCATGCCAGCCTCAGTCAAAGGTTGCTGACAAGCTCTGACCTACACAACCTGGCAAATTTCTTTACCATCCAGTAGGTAGCGGACATACACTCTCCAGAGACACCTGATTCACAGCCTTGAGGAAGATCCTTTCCAAGTTTGTTCCTCCCTTAGGAACTGTACTTCAGTCCCAGGGTATTTTTAGCATTCTCTTTTACCCCCTCTTAACCTTCTGTTATCAGTTGGGGATTCTTTTTAGCAAAAATTCCCTATTAAAATTACTGAGTAGTTCCTCTGTCCTGACTGGATTCTGACTACCACAGTAATATTCCATTGTATGTGTGGCATGCTATAATTTGCTTATCCATGTACCAGTGAAAGGATATTTTGGTTGCTTTCAATTTGGGGCTATTGTGAATAAAACTACTATCTGTATACAGATGCAAGCTTTTGTGTGGAAACAATCTTTCATTTCTCTTGGTAACACACCAAGAAGTGGGATTGCTGGCTTGTGTGGTAAATGTATATTTAGTATACATTTTAAATGGCTAACTGTTTTACAGAGCAGCTGTCGTATTTTTGCATTTTCAGAATTATGTGAAGACTCCAGTTTCTCCACCTAAGTATCAGCACCTGTTATTATCGAACCTTAATTTTAGCTATTCTGGTGGGTGTACAGTGATATCTAACGGTGGCTCTAATTTTTCACAGTCCTAATGAGCAAGGGATTGAGGATCTTTTCAAGTGCTTTTTGGCTTCTCCTATATCTTCTTTTATGAAGTGTCTGTTCAACTCTTTTGCCCATGTGTTTTTGTTGATTTGGCCTTCCATTATTGCATTATAAAAATCTTCTATATATTTGGGTTACAAGTTCATTGTCAGATATATGTTTTGTAATCCGACTTGACTTTTTATATTTTTTATATGTTTAACATAATCTTTCAACAAAAATTTTAATTTTGATGAAGTCCAATTTAACCCAACTTAACATTTTTTTCTTTTATCATTTGTTTTTATATCATATTTAAAATATTTTCTTAATAATATCACAAAGATATTCTACTTTATTGTCTTCTAAAAGTTTTGCGATTTGGACCTATATTTTTTCAATTCATCGTCCATTTTTTATTTATTTTTTTACTTGACACAAGGTCGTTGTACATATTTATGCAGTACCTAGTGGTGTTTTGATATATACAATGTATAGTGATCAGATGAGGGTAGCATTATCCATTTTGAATTCATTTTTGGTCATAAGGTGAGTAAAATTTCAAGACTAGTTTTTTTTTCCAGCTGAATATTCAGTTATCCCAGTACTATTTATTGGAGTACATATCCTTTCTTTATTGAATTACCATGGTACCTTTGTTAAAAATCAGTTGACAATATGAATGTATATTTTTTGCAGGAAGCTATCCTATTCCATTAAAATACATGTGTGTTTTTACTTATTGCATTAGCAATGATTATTGTAGCTGTAGAGTAAGTCTTAAAATCAAATGGTATATAAATTTTATAATCAGTTTTTCTACTTCTGTAAAAAGCCTGTTGGGTATTTACAGACCAGGATGCATTGAATCTACAGATCAATTTCACAAGATCTGCCATCTCAACAATATTAAGTCTATCAACATTTTTATTTTGATATTACTTGATTTTCCAAAGCAGTTTTTGCACTTTTTAGTGTACCAGATTTTGCACATCTGTTTTTAAATATACTATGTCTTCTACTTTTATATGCTATTATGAACAGTGTTCTATTTTTAATTTCATTTTCTGTTGCTAATATGTAGAAATAGTTGATTTTTATTTATACTGTATTGTGACATTAAATTATTAGTTTTATATATTATATCATATAATTTCTACTTAAGCAATTATGCAATATATGAACAAAGATAGTTTTACTTCTTTCTTTCCAATCTACATTTGTTTCTCTTCCTTGCCTTATAGCACTAACTAAGACCTTGAGTACAGTAATGAGTAAAAGTAATGAGAGTATTTCTGACTTCAGGTAGAAATCATTTGCTCTTTCACTATTAAGTATGGTCTTGGCTGTATATTTTTTTAATAGGTGAACTTCTTCAGATTGAGGAAGTTTTCTTCTATTCTTAGTTTGCTAAGAATTTTTATTAAAAATATATGTTGAATTTTGTCAAATACTCTTTAATACATCTACTAAGCTATTAATATAGTCTCTTGCCTTTATTCTATTAGTATATTATGTTAATTGATTTGATTTTTCAGATATTACATGTTCTGGCATTTCTGGGATAAGCCTCACATCATCATGGTCCATTATACTTTAAATAGCACTGGATTTAATTAGCTAGTACTTTGTAGAAGATTTTTGTGATTATGTCCAATGTAAATATTGATCTGTAGTTTTTCTTTCCTGTGATGTCTCTGTCTAGCTTTGGCATAAAGATAGTACTAGACTTCAAACCTGATGTATGAATTGAGTAATTGAAAATCATCTATCAATCCAGTTCAAATATAAAATGCAGCTTAACTAGTTAAGTGCTGAGATCATGAGATACATTTCAAATTCGACTATTAGCAACTTTACTGATAACAAAAAGGCCATATGCTTTGTGTGACTATTTGGATTTTTGCATTAGTACATGGATATATTAATACATATGAGGTTCTTATTAGTTCAGAGACATAAAGGGAGCAAACGTAAATCCATATTTAAATTGAGTACAGAACAAAAACTTGCTTTGAGAGCCTCAGAGAGGGCTGCATCTTAAGCAGTGCCATAATGGCCATGTGATCCTAACACAGGATGACTTTGTAAGGAAAGTATCCCTGTACGTGCAGACTAGAGTCTTTGGCAAAAGGTTCATGCTGACTCCCAGTGCCCCCCAGCCCTCAGCATTGACTAGTGTGATTCTGCAATCAAATGCTCTACAACTGAGCTGTACCTTTTCATCTAGTGTGATTTTGGATTCATAAGTCTACTGAAGCTAGATACGGTTCCTTCAGGGGTAAATGACTAGTCTGTTAGTGTACTTTGGTGGAGCCGGCTTTCACCACGAAAAGCAGTAAAATAATTCTAATACCCCAAATGCCTGTTTTATAATGGGTAACGCCAATGACACATTCCAGTAAGAGTAGATCACTGACAAAAGGAGAATGGTCCTCTCTAGAGGAATATAGTGTATCTATGAGGGGTTTGCAGCCTTGTCTTTGGGAATGTCAATAGAACCTCTAAAACGGCAGTCAGTACCAATTTCTGAAAGGTGTAAATTCTGATTCTCTCTCTGCCAAGGCAAAGCAAGCTGACTTCATTACTAATGCAAGTCTCTAAACTGAGGAACATGATGCCATTTAGAAGTCTACAACCTTTTCCCCATAGATCGTAAAACTAAAACTGGTAGAAAACAGAAATGCAAAAAGAGAATAGACTCCTCCAAAAGTTTATGAGGTTTCCACAACCTAGTTATAAGAGAGAAAATTTACAGGAAAGTCTCATTTATGCACATATACTTAAAAATACTTAAAAATCAGCAGACTGAATCTTGCATTATACAAAAACTAAAATATGACCAACTTGGTTTCTTCCAAGGCTGCTTTGGTGTTTGAAAATGTTTTACTATACTTTGCCCCATTAATAAATTAAAAGAAAATATGCAAAAAAGTATTGGACACATTTAGTAACCTTTATATGATAAAATTATTAATAACTTCTAATAGAAAATAAATTATTTAATCAAATTAAGTACCAAAGACTTATAGAAAATGTCACCTGGATAGTAAAACTTAGAATTTTTCCTTTTGAGATCAGGTATGACACAAGGACGCCTGCTTTTATCACTTCAGTGTTATACTAAATATTCTAGTCGATTCAATAAGACGAAAAGAAAAGAAAAATAAGTAAAATGTGTAGGAATCAGAAATGAGGAAAGAAAAATGTAATTTTTGGCAGATGATAAGGCAAGGAATGAGGTTACAATTTAAAAATACACACAGTTTTAGAGGGCACCAAATGTTCCATGTCTTGATATTTAAGATTATTATATAAGTTTTCACTCCCTAATAATTCATCAAGCTATGTTTTTCTTTCTATAATTTTTATATGAATTATATTTATAATTTTTATTTTTATTTTAAATAGAAATTAAATTTTATTTATTGAGAGTGGCTTGGAGATGGCACTGGTATAACCCCTTTTGGATGACCTGAACCTAGGGCTCATTTAAGAATGGGTCTGTCGGCTGGATGCGGTGGCTCATGCCTGTAATCCCAGCACTTTGGGAGGCCGAGGCGGGCAGATTACCTGAGCTCAGGAGTTTGAGACCAGCCTGGCCAACATGGTGAAACCCCGTCTCTACTAAAGATACAAAAATTAGTTGGGCATGGTGGCACCCGCCTGTAATCCCAGCTACTCGGGAGGCTGAGGCAGGAGAATTTCTTGAGCCCTAGAGATGGAGGTTGCAGTGAGCCGAGATCATGCCACTGCACTCCAGCCTGGCTGACAGAGCAAGATTCTGTCTCAAAACAAAAACAAAAAACCATAATGGGTCTGTCAGGTAAATGAACAAAATGCCAACCAAGTGAAAAATTAATGTCAGTGAGGAGGGAAGAAGAGGAGTATGAATTGAAAAGCTAACCTATCAGATGCTATGCTCACTACCCAGGTGACAAACCTCAGCATCACACAATATCCCCAGGTAACAAACCTGCACATGTACCCTCGTATCTAAAATAAAAACTGAAATTTTAAAAAGTGCTCCAACTTTCTAGAAAGTCATAAAAGAACCTGCTTATGCACCAGAGCATTCAATATCTATATATAATGAAAGATTCCACCACAAGTCCACGTACATCTGTCATTAGCCTCTTCTCTGACCTGGAATAGGTGCGTGCTTTCAAGAAGGCTTCAGCGTTGTCAAGAACATTAGAGTGTTCTGACTAGCTTTTACTGTGTTCTGTTTGCCAAACTCGACCCTAAATATCTCACAATGGTCACCCTTGTACATCTTCATAACAGAGTTCTACAGCTAATGGTATTATTCTCACCCCCTCCCCATTTACAAATGAAGAAAGAGGCACAGGGAGTTTCTGATTTAGTCAAGGTTACATTGTTAGTAAGTGGCAGAGCCAGACTTCAAAATGCAGGAGTCTAAGCCTAGAGTTTATGTACTTCAGCAGTTTCTTTTGCCATAGTTGATAATCGAGGATACTGCTGCCCTGCGCATTTCTTGTATGTAATAAGTTCAGGGAGATTAGGGCATGAGGGGTGTAATTAGATATACTAATGAACTCCTGATACAAGTTTCAATTAATGTAATCTGTGATCAGCTTTGGATTCAGATGAGGAAAATGAAACCACTCCTTTGGAGATTTGGTTGGACCCCCTACCACATCTAAGGGATTTCCAGTAAGGTGTGCAACAAAGCATGGAACTAGATATTGTGGGGGAAAAGAATAAGTGCTAAGAATTAGAATGAACAGAGTAGAGTTACAAGAAATTTCAGAGAACAGCCATTATCCCTAGCATCTTGCTCTAATGAGCTTGATAGCAGATGAGGGTGTGTGAAGGTGCAGTCAGGTTGGCCTAGTGCCCAAGCAGAGAAGAAATCCTCTTTCCTTCATGCCAAGATGGACTCTTGGGTCTCCTCAGGATTACTTAAACAGCGTTCTCATTTGATGACAGCAATGTTACCTTTCCGAAGAAATCCCTACTGATTCCCTAATAATGTCTGCTGAGTATTGCATGTAAATTATGAATACACATTTACAATTACAGAAGTTTCCCAATTCCCAATCTCTAAGCATCAAACTTTTAATAAGGTCTCTAGTGAAGACTCTCAGATTCGCTATGACACTTTGAACAGAGAGTGTTAATTTTCTGTGTATGTCCCGGGTTAACAAGTGAATTGCAGTATTAGCCAGGATACTGTCCCCAGTGACTCTCAGGAGATGGATCATTTTTTCAAACACTAATGACGATAATCTCAAAAAAAGAAATATTTTAGTTATTTCTGTTCTGAGAAATAAATGAAAATGTCCCTCCCCTTCATTTCATAATAAAATAAGAGAAGAGTCTCTGGGTCCTGTATCAGATTTGTTGAAGCTATTTATTTATATTTATAATACATGAAAAATCAATATTATATATTAGGGACTAGTCTCTAATAGCAAACTTTGAGATAATGAACAGATTGAAAGAAACTGGAAGAAGCCATTATTCTTGATTTCATGAATGAAAGCCTTGATTTCTTTTCATTTTTAATGTAGCAGGGAACTTTAGTGGGTAAAAGGCATTAGAAAGTGACTGTGATTCTTTTCTTCCCTTTTAAACCCCTTCTTCCCTTTCCCAGTCTCTAGCTCTAGCACTTGTACTGAATTAAATATTTCTCTTTTCCTCATCTGTCTCTCTCCCTAGTCTTTTTCTTAGTTGCTTTTCTTAGAGCTCTCATGCTCATTCTTTTTTTTCCTTCTGGCTGTCTTCAGGTGTGGGACCGAAACTAGGAAGAGTCTACCTTTAATCCTAATCTTCCCAACACTTTCGATCTTTATATTGGGTTTATGCTGGGATTTCTTTTTTTAGATGTTTTGGGTTTATCTTGGACTAGATCAGATTACTTTCAAAGGCAGATTCATCTGATTTAAATGAGAGGAGTAGAAAACTTTCATTTTCTTTTTTTAAATTTTTATTTATTTATTTTTATTATTATTATACTTTAAGTTCTAGAGTACATGTGCATAACGTGCAGATTTGTTACATATGTATACTTGTGCCATGTTGGTGTGCACCCATCAACTCGTCAGCATCCAATAACTCCCAATGCAATCCCTCCCCCCTCCCCCCTCCCCCCTCCCCATGATAGGCCCCGGTGTGTGATGTTCCCCTTCCCGAGTCCAAGTGATCTCATTGTTCAGTTCCCACCTATGAGTGAGAACATGTGGTGTTTGGTTTTCGGTTCTTGCGATAGTTTGCTGAGAATGATGGTTTCCAGCTGCATCCATGTCCCTACAAAGGACACAAACTCATCCTTTTTTATGGCTGCATAGTATTCCATGGTGTATATGTGCCACATTTTCTTAATCCAGTCTGTCACTGATGGACATTTGGGTTGATTCCAAGTCTTTGCTATTGTGAATAGTGCCGCAATGAACATATGTGTGTCTTTATAGCAGCATGATTTATAATCCTTTGGGCATATACCCAGTAATGGGATGGCTGGGTCATATGGTACTTCTAGTTCTAGATCCTTGAGGAATTGCCATACTGTTTTCCATAATGGTTGAACTAGTTTACAATCCCACCAACAGTGTAAAAGTGTTCCTATTTCTCCACATCCTCTCCAGCACCTGTTGGTTCCTGACTTTTTAATGATTGCCATTCTGACTGGTGTGAGATGGTATCTCATTGTGGTTTTGATTTGCATTTCTCTGATGGCCAGTGATGATGAGCATTTTTTTATGTGTCTGTTGGCTGTATGAATGTTTTCTTTTGAGAAATGTCTGTTCATATCCTTTGCCCACTTTTTGATGGGGTTGTTTGTTTTTTTCTTGTAAATTTGTTTGAATTCTTTGTAGGTTCTGGATATTAGCCCTTTGTCAGAGTAGATTGCAAAAATTTTCTCCCATTCTGTAGGTTGCCTGTTCACTCTGATGGTAGTTTCTTTTGCTGTGCAGAAGCTCTTTAGTTTAATGAGATCCCATTTGTAAATTTTGGCTTTTGTTGTGGTTGCTTTTGGTGTTTTAGACCTGAAGTCCTTGCCCATGCCTATGTCCTGAATGGTATTACCTAGGTTTTCTTCTAGGGTTTTTATGGTATTAGGTATAACATTTAAGTCTCTAATCCATCTTGAATTAATTTTCGTATAAGGAGTAAGGAAAGGATCCAGTTTCAGCTTTCTACTTATGGCTAGCCAATTTTCCCAACACCATTTATTAAATAGGGAATCCTTTCCCCATTTCTTGTTTTTGTCAGGTTTGTCAAAGATCAGATGGTTGTAGATGTGTGGTATTATTTCTGAGGACTCTGTTCTGTTCCATTGGTCTGCATCTCTGTTTTGGTACCAGTACCATGCTATTTTGGTTACTGTAGCCTTGTAATATAGTTTGAAGTCAGGTAGCGTGATGCCTCCAACTTTGTTCTTTTGACTTAGGATTGTCTTGGCAATGTGGGCTCTTTTTTGGTTCCATATGAACTTTAAAGCAGTTTTTTCCAATTCTGTGAAGAAAGTCATTGGTAGCTTGATGGGGATGGCATTGAATCTATAAATTACCTTGGGCAGTATGGCCATTTTCATGATATTGATTCTTCCTATCCATGAGCATGGTATGTTCTTCCATTTGTTTGTGTCC